TCTGCTCGCTCTGCTCTGCTCTGCCCAGGGTCGCCTTTGCTCTGTCGCAGCCGCAAAAGAAGATCTTCACCCGAAGCTCATCCAAAGGTGTTTATTGGAAGACAGCTGGACCAGCCAAGCTGAACATACACAGGGTTTATATAGGGGTTCCTGGGGTTGGGGAAGTTTTTCCAGGGTAGGGATTGGTCCGATTTCAGTGCTGAGCTCAGATTGGCTAGAGCTCTGCTCCGGGATTGGTTACTTTTTTACACAGGATTAGGGTCAGATTTGGCTCTGGTTTCAGGGCCAAAGTGTGTTTCTTTCTCTGGTCCTTTTTAGCCTTTTGGCTCCAATTTTAGGGCCAGGGTACATTTCTTTCACTGACTCTGATTCCAGGGACAAAGTGTGTTCCTTTGGCACTGGTTTTAGGGTCAGGGTACATTTCTTTGGTTCTGGTTGCAGGGCCAAAGTGTGTTTCTTTGGCTCTGCTCAGGGTGTGTTTCTTTGACTGGTCCCTTTGCCCTACACCTTATTCATGCTCTTCCATGTGGCAGTATTTTTTCTTAACTACAGAGTGCCCATCTTGCTCTCTCTGAGTCTGGCTGTCACCTCCTGACTCTGCCCTCCTCCTTCCTATCATTCTTAGTTTGGTTTCCCTACATATTCTTCCTGACTGGCTACTGGACCACCAGTATTTTATTATACCAATTTGAGTGAAAAAGGATTATTCCACAACAAAAATGTGATCCAAGATCATCCCTTCCTTCTGTAAATTGCATTGTTTGGGTATTCTGTCCCAGTAGCAAGAAAAATAAATAATACAGGCAGGGATAGAGCAAAGGGTTCACCAACCAGAGGGACCCACATATATAAAGACCTGAGGTCAGAAAGTAATTTCTCATCTAAGGAAAGAGAAAGGGTCAATAGGACAGGCAGCTCAGGCCACAGTGGCTTAAGAAGACAGACAAGGCTCCGCATAGGTAGGGCTTTCCCCCATCACCCTAGCATCCCCAGTCCATAGTCATCTATCTGTGGGATACTGAGGGTGATATGGTGATGGACAGGACAGGAAGGCTCAAATGATGCCACCCACACCTGAAATGTCATCTCTGGAAAATCAAAGGATAGAAATCTTCATTTTATATGGATTTTTATAATTCACAGTGTCCAGCCCTCCAGGTTGACTGAAAGACTAATTTGCTTGCTGTTCTTAAACAAGGGTTTATTTTTAATTTTAGGTATGTGTTTGTGTATGCTCATGCCTGGAGGCATGCATGTTCATGCCTATGCCAGTGTGAGGTTTGGGGTCCCCCTGGAACTGCCGTTAAAGGCAGTTGTGAGCTGTTCTATGTGGGTTCTGGGAACCAAATGTGGGTCTTCTTCAAGACCAGTAGGTGCTCCTAACCAACTAAGTATCTCTCAAGGCCCTGTTTGCAGTTGCTCCTTTCGTTTAAATTGCATGGCATTTGTTTGCTTATTTATTCATTCATTTGTTTTATGTGGGAGCATGTGCAAGCATGTGGGGTGCCCATGCCACATTTGTGTGAAAACAAGAGGACAACTTCCACCCTTTGCTACATGTGGTTACCTAGGTTTGAACTCAGGTCACAGAACCCATTTCATTAAGCAGCAAATGCTTTTCCTCCTGAGCCTTCTGGTCAACCCACTTTGTGGGGTTTTTGATTTGCTTGGCTTGGCTAAGTAATGTTTTCTGGAGAATATACCCAGAGCCTTGTACCTGCTAGATAAGCACTCTCCTAGTGGGCTGTGTCTCCAGCATTTTGCTTGTTTCCCCCTAAATAGTTACTGTGCACAGTGTCTACTGAGGCAGGGAGAGCACATCTTGGAAGATGCCCAGTGTGTTCCTGTCCTCTCAGGGCTGTGGGCTTAGTGTGGTGTGAAGGACATTGCTGAGTGGCTCATTACATGAGAAGGTGTTAGGCACTACAGTGGAGCAAGCTGTGTCAGAGCCCTGCAGGACATCCTGTGTGCCAAGGGCAAGGGTTGCTCATGGAGGCCATGCTCTGCATGGTAGGGTGTCACAGTGCTTTCCTTGTAGCACTTGTAACTGCTTGGGTCCCTGGAGCTTTTGTGTCCTGGGGAAACAGAGGGCCACCTCCAGTACTTTGCTGTAGGTCTTGCTTGTTAGGCAGACACTCAGCTTATGCTTGAAAGTAAGCAGAAAATCCCCTGGGGAGCATCATTGCTCCAGAGTGGGTAGCATGGTTTCTCCATCTTAGCTGAGGGCTGTGCATGCATCAGCCTCAGATGCCTGCATCTCTGTGGCTGGTCCTCAGAGCCTCTGTAATTTGTACAAATGAAGTGGAGACTGAAATTTCCTGTCAACTTTTAATGAGTCCCCAGGTGTCACTGAAAATGTCCCTGCTGTGAGTCTTGGCAAAACTTGGAATTGGTTTCCTGGGGACTATTGTGGCAGGGAATTTGGCAGTCTGCAGAAAGACATCCCATTTGGTTGTTTACAGCAGGTAAAACAATTGGAAATTGTTCATCTCTGATGTGTCCTCCAGGACAGAAGCCCAGGGGCTTTGATTGGTGGACATGGAAAGTTTCTAAGCAGGGCCTGAGATGGCAGGTTCTTACAAAGCTTTGTAACTGCCTGGAACACGAATGCCATGAAATTGCTTCATCTGGATTCCCTTGGGGATTTTGTGTTTAACCAGAGACCTGGCTGAGAAGTGTTTTCCTTTATGTTTTTCTTCTATTTTGTGGTATTAGGGATGGAATTCAGGACACAGAATTTTGGCAAACACTTTACTACTTTTCTTCATGTTCTTAAATGCAGATCAATAGCTAGGCATAACTACAATAGTCAGATTAGGGATGCAGAAAACTGTGATTCCTATGCCAAAGGCTGCAACACACAGCATGCATGAACAGAGAGGAAGTGGTGGGGGAGTCATTTTTTCCAGTAGTGTAGTCAATGATTAGTTATCCACGCTCTAATAAATAAACGACTCCATAAACATGCTCACAAATGCAATCCTAATAAAACTCAATAAGTCATTAAAGGAAAACTAACCCCAACACCAGATAAGACACTTTCACTGTGAGGACCCCACATAGGGATCTTTTGATATATTGAAGGTGTTCTAGAAAAAAAATGTCACATCCTCTGCTTAAATGCCTGTATCTTAGAAATGTCTTGTGCTCTCTGTCACCTCAGCTGAAGGGAATAATAAGGGAAGTGCAAACAACGATGATCAAAAGAAAGGCAATTACAAGTATGAATCTAATTAGTCTAAATAAAAAGCTGAAGGATCCGAGACGCAGCAGAACAGCCACCAGTTGCTTCCTACCGGTCTCCTTCCTGTCTTTACCCCACCTTATCACTTCCTGTCTCCACCTCCCCAGTGCTGGAAATAGAGATGTGTGCCACCAACGCCTATGGTTAACTAGAGGCTGCTCCACCCTCTGGTCTCAAGGCAAACTTTATTTGTCAGAAAACAAACAAAATATCCAACAAGTACTTCAGGAGAGCTACAACACTGACGTGAGGTTATTGATCTGTGATAAGACCTCCCTCAAAGGCAGCAACTTCACTACAATTCTTCAATCCAGAATGTGTGTATCAGGAAAACCGACGAACCATCCTGCCTCCATTTTTGGCTGAAAGCCATCTCATAGTAAAGATGAACTAGATTCATTCATATTTATGATTAAACCTCTGTTTCTCAAAGACTGGACTGTGCTCCATTTGTAACCTCAACTACAGGAGGTCCTGTACTGCCTGCTCCAGGAAATAGCCATGTCTTTGTCTCAAAAGGTTACTATGACCACCTGTTGCTAGGACTATGTTATGACCATCTTGCAATCATGTGTCTGTTTCAGAAGGTCATTATCACTAACTTCTAATGCTATTATAATTCTGTCTATTTGCCCTCCCAACCCCCCGTTTGGAAATCCCCTATCCCTGAGCTATAAAAACATTATCTTGCTCATGTCCAGTGATGAACTTTTGAACCCACCTTAGGGGAGGCAGCCCATGAACTCAAGTGAAAATGCTTGCTTTAACTGATTTGGTCATGATGATTCAGGTCAATGGTCTTTCTCCTTGAATCTTGTGCATTAACAGGACTACATAGCAACAGCTAAGAAGATGCCTGTGAGGGAAGAAACTGACCCCATAGCTGAATTATCTGGCAGCAGAGGAGATGAAGAATTGAGAAAGACATAGGATGTAGGAGGTAAGGATGTAGATGAGTGATACCAAGAGTGGTAGCGTTGGATGGTGCCACCATAAAGACTAAAACTTCATGGGATGGGGAGATGATAGATTCAGTTAGGAAACATAAGAGGGCATAAGTAAGACTGTGACGTAAGGCGGTCCCTTAGGGAAACTAGGACAACTGAACATCAAGGGCAAGGGACGTTGTCCACTGGAAGAATTGAGTACACTGCTTGTAAGCTCACGGCTAACATCCACAAGAACCATCGTTAAGGTCTATGTGGTCAGTGATCTCAGAAGCACCTAAGACACTGAGGCCCTCTTCATTAAAGTCAAGATAGCAGCAATTGCACACTAGATTCAGTGGAAGGAAAAGAGCATGGAGTGGTACTTAGCCATATGGGGGTAAATGGAAATGAGGAATACTGGTACAGATGTATGAATTAGTCAATGCCTAGCACACACTTCTCTGTGAGTCAGTTGGATTCCACTGACACACATGAAATCCTGATTGGATCTAGACTGAGTTGGGGTGTATGTATGTGCTTCACAAGCAAGTAGAGTCTTCCAAGTTCAGAGGAGAGAGTCACAGGGAAGGTAGGAAAGAGTAGGGGGAAAGGAAAACATAATCAGAATATATTGTGTGAAAAAAATCTATTGTCAACTAAAAATAAAAGAAAAAAAACCAAAGGAATGATAGAAATAAATGAAATAAAATGAGACATTAACAGTCAAAAACAAACAGAGAAGTAGAAATTTGAGAGCATCCAGGGAAGTGTAGTGAGACACCTATTCAAAAAATAACAGCAAACTAAAAATAAAAACTGACAATCACCCGGGTTGTTAGGTTTAATAAACCTAGAAATTTAGTTTTCACAGAAACACTGAAGAATTCCAATACAAGAGAAGTGTTGGGATTAGAACAGAGGTCAAGGCAATGGAAATGTTCCTCAGTTTCAAAGGTCCTCTGAGCTTGAACCTGACCCCCATCCTGCCCTGACACTTCCCCTTATCTCTGTTGTCTAAGGGAGTAATTCCTGCTAGGCTGGAGGACAAGGCAGGGCCTGTGAGCAGGCAGAGGAAGTCAGAGGTCTTGGTCCAAGGACATTAGCTCCATCTCACTCCCAGACCCCAAGTGCTGATGTCCTGCTGTCCTCCAGTACCTCCTGTTGTGTTCTGAGAGCCTCCCAAACAGGCCACAGTAATGCTTACTCCGGGAGGTGCAGAGGTAGGTGGATGGGTGCGACTGTCCATCCAAGTGCAGGGGGTCACTGTGAGCTCAGCGGTTCCACCCGCAGCCACAGCCCTCCCTCAGCACGCAGGATCAGCTCCGGCTTCCGGTGGGGCTCCTTGTCATCGGGCAGGACCCGGAAACGCAGCAGTGTCAGTGCCAGGGCCACCTTCATCTCGTTCATGGCGAAAGTCTGTCCTATGCAGTTCCTGCGGGAGGACAGGTTGGGGTGTCCTGGATCCCTTTCGCGACCCACCTACACTGAAACCTGGCCTAGGTACCTTCCCCACCTGGTCAGGGGCAGGCACCGAAGAGGAACTAAATTAATTGGGACCCCTTGTTTACATCCGGATTCTGTATCCTGTGAAACAATCAGCTGGGAGGAGCATCAGCACAGGGTTGTGGTTCTCACACTTTCCCAACCTCGGTACTGCCCATTTTACTTAACCTGCAAAGATGCAGGACCAAGACCTAGATCCTGACTGTCCCAACTTCCCACCGTCTCCATCTTCTCCAAACCTATGTCCCATCACCCATGCCCTCTGGCCTCACCTGGGCCCAGCAGAGAAGGGAATAAAAGCCAGAGGTGACCTGTCCTTGACATTCTCTGGGTCAAAGCGGAAAGGGTCATAGACCTGAAAGAGACAACGAGCCACATCTCCCAGAACAGTCAGAGAGATAGAGCGCTACGTGCAGTAGGGAAGGCCCAAACCTGCTCCTTTGGCTGAACTATTGTAAGGGAAAAGCATGGGGGAAGGGTTACAGTACCTCAGGGTCAGGCCACACAGTTGGGTTGTGATGGGTCGCAAAAATATTGATGATGCAGACCACACCTGTGGTGAGGTGGGACCAGGAGGGTGAGCCTGCTGCTGCATAGACCTTGTGTGTGCCCAGGACCCTCCTTCCCTGTCCCCTGGGCACCTTTAGGGATGACCCGGCCATCTGGGAGACCAATATCTTGGGTGCAGCAGCGGGAAATCACTGTGACCGGAGGATGCAGCCTCAGACTCTCCTTGATGCACATGGTGAGGAAGGGCAGCTGGGCCAGGTCGTCCCTGAGGAACAGGTCACACAGTTATCCAGGAGGGAAGCAGAGACCATCAGGCCCGGTGTTGCCCACACTGTTAAAACATCCCCAGAGAAAAAAGAGAAGTAGGAAAGCACTGGGGAGAATTTATCCAGGTATCTTTAGAAGCTTTTTCTGAATAAGCACATCCAAATGTCCACCATAAAAAGAAACTCAAAAAATGACTTAAAAAGAAATCTTCTTTGAGTAAGGGCAAAATCAAAATGAACTAAGTAAGGGACAGACAGTAAAGACATAGGGTTTGCCTTTCCTTATCGGCCTTCTCTGTCTGTTTCTGCTGCCTCTGTTTGAGTCCCTCTCTCCCTCCCTCCCTGCCTTCCTCCCCCTTCCTTCCTTCCTTCCTCCCTCCCTCCCTCCCTCCCTTCCTCCCTCCCTCCCTCTCTCCCTCCCTCTCTCCACAGGACTTTTTGATCTATGTTCACACCTTGCTCCTTCACATGCAAACTCTCCATCCTCTCTCACTCCATAGCGTCCCTTTCTCCTCCCGCCTCCTTCCTTCTGTTCCCCTTCATTTTCCTCCTGTTCCTCCCCTCCCTATCCTCTTCATTGTTCCTTTTTTCTCTTACACGCTCCCCCTCCTTTTCGCCCACATCTTGTCCTTGCCATTTCTCCTCTTTTCTAGCCCATCCTCTTTCCAATTCCCCTTTATCTCATTGTGTAACAAATTTATGCAAACTAAAAACTTCCATGCCAGGGGGATCTCCAAAAGACTCAGGAGGCACACAAACTTATAGGGCTCAAGATGTGAACGACTCACAAGTCTTAGGAAATTCCTGAAACCTAAAAGATCCTCAAGGTTAAGGAAAGGGTAGTAACTGCTAGACAGACACTCTCTAGGAGCTCCGGGATGCAGCTTTTTGAGTCCTTATCCACATTAGGGTGGGATTTTCAGTGGTACAGCAGTAATAAGCCCTCATCCACACTGATGTGAGAAATTCTAATAAACTCACTGTTTTGCTAAACTGGCCTTCATGGAATCATGTCTTTGGTCCTTTGTCCCAGAGGGAAAAGAGGCATTTGTTCACATCTCCCCAAGAAAAATCATAAAACAACCCCTCTCTTTTCTCCATCCTTTCTCACCAATTCTACTTCTCCTCCCTTGTATCTACAGCCCTGTACCTCAGTTCCAACCAGGTATCTCCTAATCCTCATTCAGGTTCCATGTCAGGCACCGTCCATCAGCCAGCTGCAGCAGCCTCACATACTCATGGAAAAGATGTGACTCAATCCTCATAGAGAGTACATGACTATGGACCACCCTGCTACCTCTGCTAAATTACAGAAACAGGCCTGCAGCTTAATTAGCAGTTAAAGAGTAGCTCTCCAGAGAGCCCCCAAGTCTGCCAGAAGATAGGCTTGGACAATAGGGAAAGACTGAGATAGATAAAGTAAGGACCTAGGGTCAGGTTACCTAGCAACACAGAAGTTCTACCCCTAACCTTTTGCCCTGAGGATTAGGTTTCCAGGAAACAGAGAAGGCTACCTTTCCCACTGACCTTTTGTTCTGACAGCTTTCTTGAAGCTGCCCCTCCTTGCTTCCCCCTCCAAGCCCCTTAAATATACCTTGGAAAGAATAAAATTCGGTTGCCTTGATCAGACTCTTGTCTTGGCGTCCTTTTTTCTGGTATCTCTGGCCCCTCATCACTCTCCTAGGTACTCTCCAGTGCCCACGTTGAATGTCACGTGGGTCAGGGCATTTCCAGAGTGAATGTACCCTTCACCCTAGCCTTGCCTCTCTTACTCTGAACCTGGCACCTGTCAGTGTCCAGGGGTGTCTTGATGCAGGGCCACTCTCCCTTCAGGCTTGGAGCTCCTGACATCACTTCCCACAGCAGCAGCATTAGCACAGAACAGCTGCTCATGAAACTGTCATGGGCGGGCATCATTGAAGGACTTGCTGAATGGATGCTACGAAAGGCACAGCACACTGACAATGACTTTTGCCCCCATGTGTCACTTGCAAATTCCTATTCTGGCAAGAAATAGGAAACAGCAGCGCAAACGGTCCTGGAGGGAAGCCATTGATAATACGTTATATGATACAAGCAGAATCGAGGAGGGAAAGTTTCTATGAATTAAATACCTGCGACGTGACGTCAGCTGCCCTTATTCACAATTATATTGCTACTAATTCTCTCAGAAGTTCAAGTCTTTCTGTCACAAAGCATAAAATCTCTTCTTTTTAATGGGGTAAATACTATTCTACCAAGCAGAAATGGAAGAAGCAGCAAAAAGAGCCCCTGTGCCACCTAAGGAGTGGAGCCAGGAGAAGGGCCCAGTCACACACCGGGACCTGAGCTCACCACTCAATCTCCTGAGGCTCTCGGTCCCTCAGCAGCTCCCACACCTCCTGCCGACAGCGCTCCTGGTATTCCGGGTGCCTCGCCAGGTTGTACAGGATCCAGGAGAGCCCACTGGCTGTGGTGTCATGGCCTGAGGGGCAGACAGGTGCGCCTGAGTCTCAGAGCTATTCATCACCACACAGTGGACAACAGGCAGGGAGGACCCCAGGAAGGATGAGAAAATGGGAAGACAGATTATAGTGGCATTTCTGGGTCCATTCAACATGTCCCCAAAACATGTCGGCTTCCTCTGTAGTCTCACACGGGGACCCTCACCCTCAAACATGAAGGTGTCAGCCTCTGCTCTGATGTCCTCATCTGACAACTCCTTCCCATCTTCATCCTGGATACAAGGCAAGACACTAGATCACAGCAGTTCTGAGTCTCTGTCTAATCTAAGACAGCTCCCTTAGTTCCATACAGCAAGGCCACTGCACCTCTGCGTCTCTCTTGGTCATCACCATAGGTCTCCACCCCCAGGCATAGTTGTTGACTGTCCGGACTCCTGTTAGTTTGTTTATTTTTTCCTAATTGGAGGAATTGGTGACCCATGAATATACCCCAATTTGACTATGATGAGAGATTCCTAGGAAATAAAGGGAAGAGTATCTTTGCATACAGGATGATTGCATGGCAGTATTCCTTAGACACTGGAAAATAACATTATTCTCAAGACATTGCATTTTCTCCTAGAAGGGACGTGGAGTGCTTTCTGTCAATTCTTCTATAATTGTTTGATAGGAATAGTGTCTGCCTTGTAGGCAAGTAAGATGTTGCATACTTTGGGACAGACAGGGTTAGATTGACAGGAGACACAGTGACAATATGACAAATGCATGAATGCAAATGATGTCTCCTTACATATGACCAGTAACTAAATTTCTCCTCCTCTTTGTCTTTTCACTTTCAAATATTTTTCATATGATTCTCTCCCTTGAATGTGTTTATCCTGCACCCTAGTTCCTCCTGTACTCTCTTCTTCCATTCTTGGGTGCTACATGAAGAAAATTTATCTTATCTCCTCTGGAGGACTTCAGCGTTTCATACCTATAGAATTTACCTGTGATGAGAGAAAATCTACAAACATTCTAGAATAACATCTTCTCTCAAAGTGCAAAATTATATTTGGTGTTATCTTGCTTGTACAAATAAAGCCTGTCTGAAGGTCAGAAAATGCAGCTTGCCACTAGCTAACCATAGAGGCAGACAGGCAGGAAGTGAGTTAGCTGGGCAGAAACAGGATATAAGCAGGGAGAAACAGGAACTTGTTCGCTTGTCTGCTGAGACACTGAGGAGGTAAGGTGTGGCTATGATTCACTTCTTCTCTCTGATCTCTCAGCATTTTCCTCTATATCTGACTCTGGGTTTTAGTACTTAGGCGATTTACACTTACGTGTTCATGAAAATGAGATAATGAAACGAGTTAGTTTGCACACTCCAAATTAATTAAAACGTCCTTTGCTCTCGTTTGTCTCTTATTCTCTTTCTCTCCCCACATTTCTTCTTCCCCACACTTCCCTTTCCTCTTCTTGTCTGCACATCACTCTCCCCATTCACCCTCTACTTTCTGGCTCTCTGTCCTTTCCCATCTATGTATATTCCCTGAAAAGAAAGACACAGAAGAGACAACTCTGCCGTGAAACCTGCAAGACTCAAAATGCATGGGTCTTTGGATGAGTCCCGTGACCTGGAAAATTGGAGCAGGATGATGCATTCTCTGGTAACAATGGGAGACTGATCTCTAAAATGCTAGACCTAAGTGATGTGGCCACATTTGTGATTCTAGAATGTGCCTGGTGAGGACAAGAAGAACGAGAGATTGAGTCCAGCCACGGTGGTTTAGTGAGACTACCCCCAATCACAGAAGTAGTGGTTCAGTGAGTTAGTTATTTTGAGAGAGGGTGTCACCGTGTAGCCTTTGCTGGCCTGAAATTCAATATATAGACCTGGCTGGACTCAGCCTCCTCCTGCCACTGCCTCTGGAGTGCTGGAATTAAAGATGTGCACATCACACTCATTGAATTCAGTTTAAACAGCTCCATTGCACTTATTGAGAACCCACCTTGGCCAGCAGCAGAACATCAATGAAGTCCAAAGTCTTGCACTTGGCCTTGGCCTTGAGGACATCATCACCATCCTTACTGGGGAGAGTACGTCGTCGATCCTGGATGACAGCGTCTGTGAAGTCATGCACTAGACGACAGGCCTTGTGGAAGCGTATCCCATCAGGAGTGAGCTGATAAAGTGAGTCTATGTGTAGAAGCAGCTGCTGGTACCGTTTGGACACCAAAGCACTGAGTTCCAAGATGGCAGAGATATACTCACTGGGCTTCCTGCATGAGTAGAGCATGAGGAGAAGCAGCACAGCTCAACACAGCTGAAGCTCAAGTAGCACCTCTCAGCAATGGGAATTATTTGCCAACAGGATACTCAGTAGTGAGAAACAGATGACCACATAAGACATGCCTGCCATTATTCATGAGACTTGACTATAATGTCTCTTAACTCTCTGAATCCCATCCTCGTGAGCTAGGCGTCTCAAGGCATCTGGAGTGCACAGACATCAGGCCTCTCTTTTCTCTCTCTTACACTACATCTATTTATAACCCACCTGCTTCCCAACCCTTTCCCCTAGTGAAGAACTCAGTTTCCTCAGGTTACCTAATCTCTTATACAAGGTCCCTGCATTCAGTGACAATTCAATCTTGTCTCTACAAAACACCCAATGTTTACAGATCACTGATAGGATCATGTCCGTTTACTGAGGTTTGGCAAAGGGTGTCTCCCATACGTTTATCTCTGAGGATATTAGAAAGTGGCAGAACCATTAAGAGATAGGACTTAATAGAGATTGGCTAGGCCATTACAGGTGTGCCTTGAAGAGGATGAGAGGACCTGACACTTTCCAGTCTCTCTTTATTTCCCAGCTGCCACGAAGTAAATGTTTTCCCTAACACCTGTTCCCAACAAAACAATGGAGTCAGAGAACCATCACCAAAAGTCTCTGAAACTATGAGCTGCAATAGATCCATCTTCCAATTAAGTCCATCCCCTCAGAAATGTTGGCACAGTAACGGAAGTGACTCCAGGTGCAATCACCCTCTGTAGAAACTATAGGAGAAAGCTCCCACCCTTGTCTGGATTGGTTTAGCCTCTATGTTGGTACATACTGATGGTCAGCTTGACACGATCTAGAATACCATACATTGTGGACAAATTTCTGAGCAAATGTGGATTCTCTATATTGTGTTAATTGAGGAGGTAATACCCACCTTAATAAGGGAACACTATGCCATGACTGTTTTCAGATGACACAAAAGCTAGTCGAGCATAAGCGTTCATTTCTCTCTGCTTCCTGACTGCGGATGTGATGTGACCATCAGTCTCACACTCCTGCACCTATGACTTCCCCACAATGAGGGAAGTCCCCCAGATTTGATTCACACCAAATCCTTTCTTCTTCACTTTTAGTTGTGTCAACAGGAAACACAAGTAATATGTAAATTGGTACCAGAAGTGGAGTCAGAACTGTAATAACCCTGAACATGTGGTTCTTAGGACTTTGAAACTTGTTTGCAGAAGGAGTGCAGAAGGGTTTGAAATTCTGTAAGGGAACTTTAAAGGGAAATTCTGATGGGAGTTTGGTAGACCACAATGTCAAAAAGAAACAGACAAAGGAGACTTAGATCATGTGGGGTTTCTTCTTGCAGGGGTGACTCTGTAAGGAGCTAGATGATAGAGTCTATTCTTGCTTCTGTTCGGCAACAAAATTGGCTTCTTTCTTCCTGTGTCTAAGACCTTTGGTGGCGCTGACTTAAAAGGTGCTAGACCTTTTGCATGAGGAAACTTTCAAGACAGCATAGCATTCAGGATATGGGATGGCTACAGCTCTCTGGCCTTTTTATACATTCAGTGCGAATTGGGTTTCATACTACACAAGGAAGCAAAACCTAGTTGAGCATAAGCCTTCATTACTCTTCACTCCCTGACTGCAGACACAGTGTAGTCAGCCTGCTGCCCTGTCTTCTTTGCCATGATGGTGATTCCCTCCAACTTGGGACAACACAAACTCTTCCTTGAGTTGTTTTTATCAGCTATTCTGTTGCAGCAATGAGGAAAGAGTCTAGTGTACCTAATTCAGTGAGTGCCAACCTGCCAGTCTCATGGCTAAGGCGCCTCCTCCCTGCCAGCTTTACTCTCATCCCTGGTCTTCTTCTGAATCACCTCCTCCAGGAGCCCCCGCCTTCCCCACTGGTCATGCATCCCTCTTGCATCTCCTCTCTTGGGTCCACAATCCAGGTTCTCAGGCCAATGGGAGGAACTCACTCCTGGCAGTTGCTATCAAAGCTGAAGACGCATTTCTGCAGACTGTCCAAGGTCATCAGGCTGGTGTTCTCAAACATGTCCAGACGGGCACTGCCACCTGAGGCCAGGCGCTGCCACTTGGCCTTAACAGAAAAGAAACTGTATCATAACCAAGCCTCAGATGCTGGAGACTCTGCCCAGTTACAGCCACATGAATGGACACCCAAAACTGTCTCCCAGGTCTCTGCCCCAGACTCTTAACCCTGGAGATAACCAGGCGTGAGTGGGAGGGAAGCTGTTACGTAGGAGATGAAGCCGCAAGGATAAGGATCAGAAACCCTGAGTTTAAGCCCCATCTCTGACTCCCATGCTATGTGCACCCTCAGTCAGCTCATTGCCTCTCTCTCACGAGTCACATCTTTAGCAACAAGTCGACCTGACTGTGTCTGATAAACCATGATGGAGCCCATGTGTCACTATTTCTAGGTCACTTCCTGTCTGAGCATAGCGGGACAAATTCCTTTATATTTTAAATTTCAGGTTCGTCCTAATGAGGAAAAAGTAAGCACTGTCTGACAGGGTTGTTATAAATTAAATTTGCAGCATAAAGTATGGAATTGGGTCATGACCCTCAGTTCCAGAACACGTTATGAGTGCAATAAATAGCGTTATTCCTTATCTTGAGTGTCATAACATGGGCTCAGAGCTATCTCTATGTTTTTGGTTTTTCAAGACAGGGTTTCTCTGTGTATCCCTGGCTGTCCTGAAACACACTCTGTAACCCAAGCTGGCATTGAACTCATAGAGGTCTGACTGCCTATGCCTCCTGAGTGCTGGGATTAAAGGCGTAGGCCACCATTCCCCAGATCATCCCAGTGTTATTAACCTGGACTGTGTCATAGGTATTTGCAGAAACTCTTGAGATATCCAGTGATTACTTTCCATGGGCAAATATCAGGTTTGTCTCAGCTTCATATACAAGCAGATTTCATAAAACTAAGTAACACCACGTAGGTCATGGGTTGCATCTGTTGAAGCCTATACTGATGCCCCCTGGAATTGAGAGGCTTTCAAGAAGGAACAGAAGACAGGAGGATGCACAGGGAGTAGCTGACCTCCTTTTGTATTTGAACAAGGAATCTTGTGTGGTCTGGCAGAATCCACAAGCAAACAAGCTATGAAACCAGCTAGCAAGCAGAAAAGAAAACCATTGACCCCCTCATGTGACTCTCCCTGTAAGTCTCTTGTTCTTCAGCCCTGTGTAATGTGAGTTTTCAGCAACAGTCATAACAAAGTTGAGCCTGTACTACCACACTTTGCTTTTGTGTTAGGTTTGTGACTTTGACTAGTATGATCTAGGAAAAAGGAGAAATCTATGACTTCGATGAAGCCCAGGCTTCAAGTGGCTTCCAGGTTCCTTCCTATGCCAATATGTGCCATAGGAACCAGTCCAGGATACACTGTGGAAAGAGAGAACCTTAGAGGCTGCTGGAACCATACTAAATTAGCTTGAAGTTGGTCAAGTTGCATCAGAGAACTATGGTGGTTTCAGGCAAGCTGACCCACATCTTGTCACATGCTACAAGTGACCCAAACCCTGTCCAGGAAAACCAAGCCAAGGCCTACACTCCTGTCAGCAATATCAGACCTCATAGTTTCCAAACTGATGTGTGTGGTAGTGCTTAGCTCCTTATAGGTAGTTTCTGTGTAGTCCTTATCAAGTCTGCCATTACGTATTAGCAACCATGTCATAAAAGTAGAAACTAACTCTATAAGCACTCACAATGTGGGAAGATATGGTTCTATAATATCACCTTGGACATAAAATAAGAAGAAAAATAATATAAAATATGGCTCCATCAGCACACTTTAGGGAACAGACAAGATCTATCTGAGGCCAAGTCCATTTTCTGGGAAGCTGGGCACACGGCACTCACATGCATGATGTTGGTGCTGTCATTGAAAATCTTCACATAGGGCTTCAGGATGTTGAAATGGAAGGCAGGTGTCAGCATGCGACGGTGGCGGCTCCACTTGTCACCAGCACTCACCAAGAGCCCGTCCCCTGGACAGACAACATCCCATCGAGCAATGGTGGCTTGCCCCCCAACCCACCCCATCCCCAAGGGTGTTCCTAGGCTTGCATCTGTAACTACTCACCCAGCCAGGGTTTCAGGAAAGTGTAGAAGACTACTTCCTTTAGGGCGACTGCAGCTGACATGAACAAGGAGGATCAGGGGCCAAGGAGAGTCTAGGAGGTGAGCTTGCAGAGAGTATGGGGGCCTCAGCAAGGTGTGTGCACGTCTGCCCCAAACCCGGCATGACAGGGTTAGAGAAATGGACATGGGAAGCCGAGAGGAGGGGGAAACGGGACACAAGATGAGACAGCATTAACTCACTTTACCATCCCTTCCCTTGGCTTCAACACCAGCTGCCACCATATCTGCCCTCCTAGTGCAACACAACCTTCTACAGACCTGGCATAGCTGCCCACCCCAGCTCGCTGTGACATCTCCTGACATGGACACGTGTCATGGACATATATGGAGTGACATGGGCCAACATGGATAACACCCACATGACCTGTCTGTCCTACATGACCTCATCTGCTGCCTAATAGATAGAGATGATCTGCTGTAGAACAGTGTGCCCCACAGGCAGGTACCAGACAAGATTTTAGAGTAGTCCCAATAATCCCACAGATATGATGGGCATGGTCTAATCAGACATCAGAACTGTAACAAACAAGAGACCTGAGCCATTATTTCTATTTCAGCATGACTCTAGTTGACAAATGCCAAATAATCTCCCACTTGGTTCCCAGCTGGGACAGTATGAAACACCCCAACCTTGTGCTTTGAAAGATTTAGTGCTCTGATGCTGCCTCTATTTTGGAAGCTTCTAGAAATCTTAGGAAGTGGAGCATAGCTGGAGAAAGGTCATTTGAGTAATCTCTTGGAAACATTGTATTGAGTTATTGAGTACCCTCCCCCCCCGTTCCCTCCCTCATTCTCATCATGGTTACGTGTCCATCTCTCTTCTTCATGATGGACTCTGAACCACAAGTCAAAACCAAGCTTTCCTTATTTGAGTTGTGCTAACATAAAAACAAAAAGAGCTGCTACACCCGGCGTGATTAGGAGTTAGCCACATCTGTCAAGTTTCACACTGAAATTCAGGTGAGGCAGAGGCAGGGGAGTACCAGAGCCCCATCTGCCTGCATCCGGTCATGTACTCCCACAGGAGGCCACACAGGGACCTTAGCAGTGGGCAAACAGGCTAGTCCAATGTCCACCTGGATCAGAAAACAGGAGCGTCTTTGAGGTTTGGTGGAAGATGTAGATAACCATCTGCCAGGTCTCCATCCACCACAGTAGGATACACTCACAGTGTGCACTCCACGCCAGGGGTGCACAGGATACCTTCCCCTGACCTCTGAATGGACATGAGAAGAAAGTGGCCCCACGTTCTCCAGGTTTTACAAGCAAAGGACTACCAAGGTAGGAGGGCAGAGTGAGCCCTGAAAACTCTCTCCAGCACACTCGCATCCTCTGAGCTGAGCCTTGCTGGGCTTCCCCTGACAACCTCAGTGAAAAGTGGAGAAATCCAAGAGAAAGGACTGGGCTCCTCCAGGAACCACACAAAAGCGTGAAGGTGGAGACTGGAAGCCCTCGTCTCCCACAGCCACACCACTACCAGCTTCCCCTGAGTACCTGAAGCACTGAGGACAGCGCGAATGATGTCAGGGTGGCACAGAGTGATGATGGGGAGGATGGGACCCATCCATGTCATGAAGCCCTGGGGATAGGTGGCCACCAGCTTGGTCACCTCCTTCAGACCCTGCTCGGTGGGGGTGATCTACAAGCAAGACAGGAACAGTCACCCCATCCGGTGGTTTGTCAGGAGCCACGTGTGTTATGATTATGAGATGCTCAGGTTGCTGACACAATAAGACCTCTCGGCAGCTCTATGATGGTGTTTCCAGAAGGCACTGGTGTCTGCATCAGTAGCTCCAGGCAAGACGACACCATCCACCCCACTGAAGAACCATGAAGAGCAGTGGTTCTCATCCTTCCTAATGCTGTGGTGGCCCCCAGTCATAAAATTATTTTCTTTGCTACTTCATAACTGTAATTTTCCTGCTGTTATGCTTTGTAACATAAATATCTGATATGCAGGATATCTAAGATGTGACTCCCACACAAAGGGGTCTCAGTCTTTCTGGTTATGATCTGCTAATATAGACCAATAGATAGAGGAAGGAAAATTCACTCTCATTTCAAGACTGGGGCACTCATCTTCTTCTGCCCACAGACATCACAGTGCAGGTCCTTGACCTTTGGACTGTACCCCATTCCACAGAATTGCTCCTCCCCCATGGATCCCCATACACAGGATGTCAAACCTTTGGTCTCTGATCAAATTAACTACAGCCTGGATTTCCAGTTCTCCACTTTGCAGATGGCATGTTGTAGCATGCTCAGAATCCAGGATTGTATAAGCCAGCGACCATAACACAATGTACCCCTCACTCTGCTCTCATTCTCGTGTGTGTGTGTGTGTGTGTGTGTGTGTGTAATATAGTGATGCATTATTTAATATATATATGTGATGTGTTGTATAGAGCTCTCCACATGTATACATTCTCACATAACTTTGAATAAAACCATCTGCTGCATAATAATGTTCTTATCAGTGACAAACTGCATATGTGTGTGACCCTGGTCCTTTAAGATCATACTAGACCTGAAGAGTTTCTATGCACTGTATTTTGACATCATCCTACAGATCGTGTCAGTGACATATTTGCATGTTGTGAGCTTTGCTATTTACAAATGAGGCAACCGAGACTGAATCACCAAAGAAGAGGACAGAGTTGTCCAAGTCCAAGGGGTGGGGTCAAAGGAAAGCTTCAGGAAGGGTGAGTGGACAGCTTTTATCCTGCTGGGGCAACAGAACTCATGGTCCATCTTAGGGGGGATCTGAGAGCTTTAAAAAAAATGATGCTTCAGGAACGGGAGGCAGGAAGACAGCCCACAGCTCTCTTGCTCCATGTGTGGTAGGAGAGACACCAAAGATCACCCCCAAAAACCCAGAAACACAGAGATGCAGTGACAGAAAACATGGCTCTGATCTTGGGCTGGGCTCTCAGAAGGCGTCAAGTGTACAATGTGCGACGCTGGTTTCCTCGTTCTGTATAGCCCAGTCTGGGAACCGCTCTCAGCATCCACCAGTGTCAGAAAGATGAAGCAGAAGTGAATCCAGGGGTAATTAAGGGTGGAGGACTGAAATAAGGGCAGAGCTAGGGAAGGGTACAGGACGACTCGGGGCTGCTCTCTCCCTGAGCCCCGATCCTGGTGCATTAACTCCTCCACAGGGCACCCACAGTCTTCTGACACACTCACCATGCCCAGGTGACCTAAGAACCAACTCCGTTTGGGGGGCTGAGGGAAACCACAAAGATGATGATATGTGCCATAGAAGGAATAGGTCTGAGGCAGGACGCGGACCAAGAGCCAGAACGCTCCGATGAGCAGTGCAAGCAGCCACAGTGAGGACGCCTCCAGGCTGCATCCCAGGCAGGACAGGTCCAGCTGTGGCATCCTGTGGGGCAGATGGGCAGAGAGTGAGAGTCCGAGACTGGGAAGAGGGATGGGACCCTCGGGGAGAGAGGACAGGGGTAGGGAGAGTGAAGGCTGTCAGGAGGAGGAGGGGGTCGTGAGAAGGACAGCAGCAGTATGAAGAAGAGAAGAGACAAGGGTCCCCAAATATCTGAATCATAGTGAGGCTGCCAGGGGCTGTTACCTGGAAGCGAGCAGGATCACTGTGGCCTTTAGCTTCAGACAGATGGCTACCTGGAGATAAGTAGCCAACTAAGAGCTCTGTCTAAGCCGGTATAGGATCCTACAACTTCGTCCCTTAGCCTGGCTCCTCCTCTTCCGAACAGTGTGTTTCCCACACTCCCTCCTCTAGAGCGAGCTTCTCTGTTCCTGGCTTCTGCCCTGGAGGAGGTGACTGGAGCCCAGGCTCAGCCAATCCTTCACTGTCTCATCTGTGTCCTCCCCTCCTGGGAAGATGGCCAAGACAGGGGTTGGTTAGCAGGCTACAGAGTGGACTCAATTCAAGGGCACACAGCATGGATGCCAGATTGTAGCACAAAAAATACAAGGCCCAGAGACTGATATTGAGGTTCATGTTCAACCTGAAGATCAGAGAAGCAAGGCAGCAGGTCACGGGCTCTTATGTCTACTTTAGCTCAGACCTAAGGGGCAATCCTGAAACTTCACTGCTCCTCAGATTCACTCAGACTGTTACGCTCTCCTCAACGTGGCTGGAGACTAACTCTCAGACTGAATGTCTCTACCTTTTATACCTCTCAAATCCTGGTATTAAAGGGTGGTCTTGGCCTCAGAGATCCATCTGCCTTTCTCCTGCATTCTGGGATTAAAGGTGTGTACTACCATCGCCTACAGCTTGAGGTTGGCTTTGCTGTCTGAATCCTCAGGCTAGCTTTAATGATTCATAAGTAAAATATCACCACACCAGAGCCTTAGGACTTGACCCTTCCTACTTGGATGGGGCGAGGGGACTAAGAGGTGAGCAAGATTCTGAGATGAGCAAAGGTGAGTTGAGCCCACATTTATAGTTGTTGCTACTCCCTCAAAGATAAGGTGCATCTTAGTAAAATAATTATCAGGAGTCCAGGCACCAGTGGGAATGGTGCCCAGCCAGGTCTGTCACAGACCATTTCCCAAGGTCCTCTGCCTGGACTGCACTGACAGCATGCACCATCTATGTTTTTAATGCATACATAATATGTTATTGATTTGCTGAGAATTTTATACACATGTAAAATGTGTTTTGGTCAGATTCACCTGCTACTCTTCTGGTTAATTCCTTGAAGATCAGCTCCCTACCCACACCCCTCTTTTTAATAGCCTCCTGTTTCAAATAGGGGGAAGTCCTACCAGGGGCAGAAGTCCTACCAGGGGCAGAAGGTCTACCAGGGGTAAAAGGCCTATCAGGGGCTGAAGTCCTATCAGGGGCTGAAGTCCTATCAGGGGCAGAAGGCCTACCAGGGGCATAAGGCCTACCAGGGGCATAAGGCCTACCAGGGGTAAAAGGCCTATCAGGGGCTGAAGTCCTATCAGGGGCATAAGGCCTACCAGGGGCATAAGGCCTACCGGGGCCAGATCCCTGATGAAAGCTGATGGCCCCGCCCCCACCAGCTGTCAATGGCTCCTCAACTAGGGCTTGGGCATATGATGGCTTCCCCAGTGGGGATGGTGACCGTCTTGATCTTGAGCAGGTCCATGCAGGCAGCTGCAGTTGACTGCTTTCGTGAATGTAGACTTCCTATCGTACCCAGAAGGCACTGTTTCATCCTATCCTCCCAGACTTCTGCCTCTTACAGTCATTTGGCCCCCACTTCTGGAAGGATCCTTGAATCTCATGGGACGAGGTTATGATGTCGCTGTCCCGTTTACTCTCTGCACTGTGACCAGCTGTGTGTCTACATGACATGCTGTCCGTAGCACAGAGGAACTTCTCTGGTGAGGTCTTTCATGGCAAGAAACTGGGAGGCTCCAGGATTGCCTCTGCCTACAGAGACAGAGTGTGGCAAAATCCAAATCCCACTGTAAAGTAGCCCAGAGTCTGGAGAGAGATATGATCCCTTAGCAGGAACAAAGAATGCAGCCCAGTGTTCGATTCCCCAGGTTGTATTCCAGGAATCAGTAGTCCAGCTAAAAGAACAATGCCTAGGGTGATCTGGATATGAGAGGGGAAGAATGGGGGAGCAGGCATATGTGATGGTGAGGTCTAGGGGAACCCTGAGCAGATGGATCCATGCAGAGGAGTACCATGGAGGTGGTCAGAGGACAGCCTTGGGCTCAGGGGACAGCCTTGGGAGTCAGAGGACAGCCTTGGGCTCAGGGGACAGCTTTCGGTGTCAGAAGACAGCATTGGGTGTCAGAGGATGGTCTTGGGTGTCAGAGGACAATCTTGGGCACCAATCCTTGCATCCTTTTTTTTTTTTTTTGGAGTGTCTCTGTTGATTTCACAGCTGTGTACTCCAGGCTAAATGACTCACTAGCTCCTAGGGATTCTGCACCTCCCTTTCTACAAGAGAACTGACATTACAGATGTGTGCTGTTGTGTGTGGATGTACAGATTAAGATACATGGGACTAGGACAGATATAGGTTAATTTTATTTGGGGAGAAGTCACTTATATAAGAAACCGATAACTCACCAGTTCCAGTTCCAAGGATCCACGCCCAGTTGCTCTCTGTGACCTGACCCGAACCGAGCAGGAGGAAGCCTGTCCAGGACCCCAAACCAAATCCCACAGGCACATGTGCACATCTGTGACCACGCCCATTTGGGCGTGGTCAGCGCCACAGGTGTATCTGGTACATCTCTCACTACAGTTGTGGCTGATTTTTTTTAAGGGTTCTTGGGATTCGAACCCATGTTCTTATGTTTGCAAGCAAGTGTAATACCCTCTAGGGTTGCAAGAACAATTTTGTTTGTTTGTTTGTTTGTTTGGATGGTTGGTTGGTTTTGTTGGTTTGTTTGCTAATGAAACATTTAAAGGGCAGGGAAAAAACATTACTAGAGATCTTGGGGAGTCCTTGAGGAGACATCATATGAGAACAGAAAAATTGTGCCCCCACCCCCTGCATGGTTATTTTAGTCATGGTAACAAAAGTGTGGTTGAGTGAGAAATATCTCCCTTAGTCTCTGGCATTTGAGTACCTTTGTCCTCACTTGGTGGCGCTGTTTGGGGAGGCTTGGAGTTGTGGCCTTGCTGGAAGAAGTGTGTCACTGGGGATGGATGGCCTTTGAGGATGTAAGGCCTTATGTTACTTGCAGTTTCCTTTCTCTGGTGCTTGTGGTTCAAGACTTGAGGTCTCAGTGTTCGTCCCCAGCTGCCCCGTCCACCTGCTGCTTCAGCAGTCGCTATGAATTCTACGCCTCTGGAACCAAAATCCAGAATGAACCCTTTCTGCTTTGGTCATGCTCTTATGCCATGTTCATGGAGCCCAGAGACTAACCCAAGGAGTTGACACTCCAATGCAAAGGCAAAGGTTTCTTTTTATTGTTCAAGCTGGCCAGTTTGGATCTCACTCCATGGCAGGGAAATGAGATGCCAACCAGCCAAAAAGAGAAGCTTTTAAAGGGGCAGACCATAAGGTTGAAGGCCACAAATTTCAGAGTTTCCATGATTACTTAAGGTCATACAAAATACAGAGTAAAGCAGTAACTATATATTTTAAGCGTGAAACATTTCAGTAAGATAAGAGAGGGCACAGGCTACAGAGTCTCAGGGTCTGTCAGTTATCGCCTGGTCTGGGGATCTTCACAACCTTATGACCAGCAATTAGCAGACAGAAATGTTGACCCAAGTGGTGGGGGGTCACCTCCCCTTCTCTGAGAGCAGGGCTCAGGCTCCAGCCACGGCACTCCTAATTTGAAGAGTTAAATTTTCCTTTACCATTAGAAGTTCCCTTTCTCTGCATAGATTTAGGGCACAAGTTTTTTTTTAAACTTTCGTTAGTTTTAATTTTCGGTCCCTCAATGCTGCTTTATCACAGCAGCAGCACAGTGTCTAATAAACAGAGACTGGAGGACAAACAGCAGACGCAAGCAGAAGACTAGAGTCTCAAAGGCAATTCCCAGGGCAAGTCTCAAACCTGTGTCGAGGAGGAGAACGGAAAAGCCAAGCTGGCGTGACGGTCAGCCACATGGCGGCGGGCACACGATGACGAAGAGGGGACTGCAGAAAAGGAGTAGAGAAGTCCAATGCGTCATCTCAAGGTGAGCCTACCTTCCTGTGACTGAGCCTCTGGCCAGATTCCTGCCCCACCCAATTGGATTGACCCCTAAAGGAAGAGACAAGTGTGTCTACACCTAGTAGATTCCATTCCCAGCGGAGCCATCGCCTCACCCCCCCCTTTGTATTTAAATTAGAAACAAGCTTGTTTTACATGTCAATCCCAGTTCCCTCTCCCTCCTCTCCTCCCCTGTCCCACACCAAGCCCCTATCCCATCCCCTTTCTGCTCCCCAGGGAGGGTGAGGCCTTCCATGGAGGATCTTCAACGTCTGTCATATCATTTGGAGCAGGGCCTAGACCCTTCCCCTTGTGTCTAGGCTGAGAGAGTATCCCTCTATGTGGAATGGGCTCCCAAAGTCCATTTGTGTACTAGGGATAAATACTGATCCACTACAAGAGGCCCCATAGATTGCCCAGGCCTCCTCACTGACACCCACGTTCAGGGGGTCTGGATCAGTCCTATGCTGGTTTCCTAGCTATCAGTATGGGGTCCATGAGCTCCCCCTTGTTCAAGACAGCTGTTTCTGTGGGTTTCTCCAGCCTAGTCCTGACCCCTTTGCAAATTACTCCTCCCTCTCTGCAACTGGATTCCAGAGTTCAGCTCACTGTTTAGCTATGGGTGCCTGCTTCTGATTCCATCAGCTACTGGATGAAGGCTCTGGGATGGCATATAAGGTAGTCATCAGTCTCATTATCGGGGAAGGGCATTTAAGGTAGCTTCTCCACTATTCCTTAGATTATTAGTTGGAGTCATCCTTGTAGATCTCTGGACATTTCCCTAGTGCCACATTTCTCTTTAAACCTATAGTGGTTACCTCTATTATGGTGTCTCTTTTCTTGCTCTCCTCTATTCTTCCCCTGACTCGATCTTCCTGCTCCCTCATGTCCTCCTCTCCCCTCTTCTTTTCCCCTTCTCTTTCTCATAACTCCCTCTCCTTTCTCTTCTCTCCCCTCTCCCCATGCTCCCAGTCAGCTCCAGAGATCTTGTCCCTTTCACCTTCTCCGGGGAACCATGTGTGTCTCACTTAGGGTCCTCCTTGTTTCCTAGCTTCTCTGGTGATGTGGATTATAGGCTGGTAATCCTTTGCTCTATGTCTGAAATCCATATATGAGTGAGTACATACCATGTTT